CAAGACCCAAAGGTAAGCCAGTCGAGACGACAGACGCAGACGGAGCAGTAGACAAACATAGCAAGTTGAATGAATATACGAGTGTGTGTGCACACGGAATAACAACTATGACAACAATTACAAGGAAAGTGCAAAAGAAATCCGAAAATAACTTAACTTGAAGAGCACAACAGTAAGTGGACAACACAACATTGTATCTTAGAGATAAAGTTGAGTAGAAATAACCATAACTAATTATATCCCTTTTTCTTTTTTTTACTTTTTCAACTAGTTATCTTTAAAGGTCTTTTTATAACTTATTCACAAGTACTTTCTATTTAAAGATGTTTTTTAATTAAACAAATATGCAAATTACTATTTACTTTGTCTTGTCAGCTGTAAAAAAGGAAACTATACTGTTCAAATGTCTGTTAAAAGTCAAAGCTTTTTGTGGTACTTCTGAAACTATACAACTAGAAGTGAAAAATGGTAAATGTTATATTTTTATATACTTTATATTTAAAACATAAATAGATATCTATATCTGAACCCTTTATGTAACCAAGATTATATATTTTTAAAAGACACTTCTTAATTTCAAATAAAATATAAAATTATTAATAACACTACCTACTAGAGGTTTGAAAACATCAAAGATTTCAAACATCGAAATTTCCGATATTTTTAAGAGAAAACATCGATACATTGCGATACATCGAACAAATACAAAAATTTATTTACGGTTAATACAAGTTAAGGAACTTATTCACTGCTTAAAATATTCTTTTAAAATCTAAAGGTTAAGGGAATATATCACAAAGCCAGGTCTCTCACTCTTACTTTCTAAAACACAGTGAAGAATGAGTGAGATGAGTTATGCTCTCGTATATTCGATCCTATATTGCAGAGCTTAATCATAGCTCTATTTGAATCCAAAGAAAATCGGGTTTTTATTCGTTTGTTTGATTATCTTGAGCGTCTCTCTCTCGCACACAGACAATATATAGAGGAGGATCAGGGCTATTGCGGTGTAATCTTTCCATTTTATGGTTGTTTTTGCTTTCGGCGTTACAACAATATTTGTATTACAATTAATGCAATACAATTACAATGTGACATTTATGGTAATTTGTTTTTCAATCTGAGGACAACGACGTAGAAATAGAAATAAATTAGACAACAAATAGGCAGCGGTCAACGAAACAAAAAAAAAATACAAAAAAATATATACACCAAATACGCTTAAAGTTTTACAATACGTAATAGAAAAAGCAACTACAAAAAACGCTGTAACAGCGACGGAATTGAATAAACAAATAGGAACAACAAGAAAAGCGCGCGATCAACAACAATCGTAAAAATAGAATTATAAAACGAGCACGAGACAAAAAGAAGCAGCCAAATAAAATACAATGAAAAAATAAATTAAGAAAAAAACAAAACAACATTTAGAACATGTATTTTAAATATCAAAAAAAAATATCTAAATAAATACAATAATAAAACAATATTCAACCAGACTTTTTCATTTCCTAAAAGTTTATATACTGTAAATGTAAAAAAAAAAGTATTTCGTGACTCATGCTTGACTTTTGTAGTCAATTGTAGCTCCCAACATTACCTTAATATAAATTTAATAAATTAATTTTTAAACTATTTCCACTTATATATTTTCTTAGTACAAAGTCAAGTCCAGCTAGAGTTCAAACTCTATTTTTTTCGAAAAGCAAAAAAGTATCTTTGGGGTTGTCCGGTGAGCCTATCGATGACAAATCCGTAAAGTAGCTCAATGCGTGACTTGGCACGCACAAAACCCAAAGAAAAACAAAGATGCGAACGGAAACATAAGCCAGCCGCAAGAATGCGAAGAATCAGCAATGAAAGGGTAGGGAAGAGAGTGTTGTCCAAAGCCAGGGTTTACAGTTGTTCGATCCCACAAATCAGATTAAAATGAGAGGGTGCTTGGTGTGAACTTAGGTGTAGGGGAACACCCCTCGTCTTTCTCCCTTCTCAGCTCGCTGCTTTTCCCGTTGAACGTGGCATGAAAATAGAACCAAAAGATCAGCAAAAGAGGAAAAGTAGCAACAGCAGCAGCACTGGCGGCGTCAGCTGAGCCACAACATTTACATCGATCACGCTTTTTATGTCACATGAAGAGTCGAAAACAACGACAGTAAGTAACAAGAGGAAGAACGCCAGAATGATTGCAGCGATGGCATTTTGGCGCAGACGCTTTTATGGCACACAAGAAAGACCCCACAAAGACGAAGATAGAGATTCTAGATACTGAATCTTGACAGGAACTAGAAAATATCTAAGAAATATAATTTGGAATAATTTCGATCCTGATCTAGAATCTTTAGGAAAACTTTCTTGAACTCCCATGATTTTGGCCCAACATTTCTATAATTTGATAATGGCAGCCACAAATGTATCTTTCTGATCTTGCAAAGAAATCAGCTTTAGTAACAACCTTTACAATTTATATTGGTACCATTTCATTATTCCTCTTTTTTTATTATTTAATAAAATTACTTTATGATTATTTCAATTTATTATTACACCTTCTGTAAAAAATCAATTGACTTTCAACACGTCTATGATTTATCTAAACGAAAAAGTTAAACTAAAAGCCTTAGCACCAATTTGTGCTGCTATTCCTTATCTTTAGTTGGCTTTCTGTTTTGTTCAGTGTTATTTTAAGTAGCCGAAAAAAACTTTGATTCCTGGTAAACTTAAAACTCATTGTAGAAAGTGAATTTTTTAACAGTGCATTTATCTGTTAGATAAAGTTTAACAGTAAGAAAATAAACCTAACCATAGAATTTTTTTTTTTTTGCCTTGAGTAGCTTATAACGATTGTTTAAAAGATAAAAACCAAACGGTAATAGGTTAATACATTTCACAAGCTTAAGGATAAACAAGAACAAGGTTAAATTTTCATAAATAATTAAGTTATTTTGAAAAAACTCTGTTCCAAGAATCAAAACACTAAAATATATGAGAGAAGCTTAATTAAGAGTCATTCAAAAATCTAGTAATAATAATAATATTTTGTTTTATGATACTGATACTATAGGTTAACAAAAGTATTTAGCATACAAGTTGCCTGAATCCCAGTGTCCACTGTATTTGTGCGACTGTGCAAATAGCAGGGCAGACGATCAGACACCAAGCAAGCCATCAACATCACCATCACAATCACCATCACAACGCCAGCACATCACGCCAGACTAGACCAGATCAGCCTAGCCCACAGCCCAGCATCACATCGGAGCATCGAATCACGCCGCCGAAACCAATACTGTTGGCTGTGTGTGCGCGGACGAGGCCATTAGATGATCGCCGCGTCTAAATTTAAATGTCTGTGCGTTTAAGTTGCAAGGCAAAAATAAATCTACATAAAACGTAAACAACACACAAAGTTTCATCTTGTCTCGCTTTCGCGTCGTTTTGTTTTGTTTCGCTCGCCTGTAATGACAGATCACAAGATCTCCGCAGACGGGTGGGATTTGGGATTTGGGACTGTAGGATCGGGTTGTTGCCAAGGGGTTGTCTTTTGGGATCCAAGGGTTGTGCCTGCTTGTCGTTGTCTGGGTCTGCTCTCTCACATAAATAAATATATGTAAAATGGATTCTAGCATGGCACCAACTCGTTTATGCAAAAAAAAAAAATACATTTACATTTTTACAGAGTCTAGATTTGATTACAGCGTTGTAAGAAGAAAGGATCGAGGAAACCTATGCGCAGCAAATAAATCGGGGTTAAATCTTATTGTTGTCAGACAACACTTCTTTTTGTTAATGAAAAGTAGTTGAAAACATATCAAATTACTTTCATTTGTTAAACAAAACAACCATTGTTCAAAATAAATATTAAATGTCATGGCCATAATAAAATGTTTAAGATAATATAGACCTTGATATATCAAAATAACATATTAATATTTACAGAATCAATCTGAACAACTTGGAACTGTTATAAGTTTAAGATTCTACAAAGGTAAAAACTTAAAAATCATTTTAAAAACTTCAAATGTTATATTTCAAATAAACTTTCCTTGAAAATATCTTGCAAGTCTCTTCACCTTTGGCCCGGTTTTTCAACCACCCCACCAAATGAACTCGCATTTCGAAAATCTCCCTCTTTTATGACCGGGCTCCCCCAAGGACTTTGGTCTCCCCCCAGCAAGCTAAAGATAATTTCAACTTTTCGTTTATTTTTAAAATGCATTCGGTCTTTGGCCGAGGGAAGGGAGTGGTTGGTGGCAGCGTGTAAATGGGAGTGGAAATTAAAAATAGCAAAAAGCATTTCTATAAAATAAATAACACGAGACAACCGAGACACAGACCCGGGATACTACATACGGAGGGGTGGTGGTGGGTTGTGCTCTGCTGCAAAGGTGCACTTTTTGGTCCCTGCACGTCTGCATTTTCTTAATTTAATTTTCGTGTTGCAGTTCACGATCAATTTCATTCTAATGATTGTAATTAAAAACATTTTCCTATGCTTCAGAGGGGGGCTAGGGGGGGCGAGAAGAGAGAAGGACCGTCTAGACGACGGAGGGGAAGAAAGTGGGCGGTTTTGACGCCCACTCACGCGCCGTTGGATAGCAACGAAATTAACGCTCGGTTGAATGCGAAATGAGAAACAAGAAGCACCAGATGGTGCAAATATAGTTACAATTTCACAATGCACTTTTTTAAATTAAATTAAATTACTTGGGCAAAACTTTTACTGTGTTCCGTCGCTGGAAATATTTATATTTAATTATAAAATCTAATTAATGTTATTATTTATAATAAGTAAAACAAATGGAACGAAATAGTTACAGTTTCTTAATGCGCTTTTATAAGTTATTAATCTTTATTCGTTTGGTAATACTTTTTCTGGTTTTAAGGCGTTTTGTCTAAAATCTAGAAACAAAATTTTATGAGTGTAATAATCAAAAAAATAAGCTAATTTCTTGTGTTCAATAATTTTTAAGGTCTTAGAATTATACTTTCTTATTTCCACATACCAATAAAGAAGTTAAGATCATATAAGACTTGATTAGGGATTAATAATTGACATCATTTACCTGAAAAGATAAAAAAGAAGTTGATATTTCGTAATTAATGTTTAGTATATAAGACTTTATTCATTAGATCGGTGCATCTGAGTTTGATATCAAGAGTTAAAAGAAAATCAAACGTCACATCATCCGGTCACAAAGATTTTCGCAAAAAAAAAAAACATACCCTTGCTGGTAGAAAATCACTAAAAGCAATAATAATAGTGAGAACAACAACAGCGACGTCAGCAACGAGACAATGAGGCAGAGGCAGAGCCCGAGCTGTGCCCGTGTCTCGTGGATCGTCGTCACGATTGGGATGTGTTGTCCCCTCCTCCTCCACCGCTCCACCGCTCACCTGCTCATGCCACCCGAGCAACTACCGAATTTCGTCAGATGAAAAAGCCCAAGCAAAAATATTCTATTGGTTTAAATATAGCAGCGAGACGTCCTCGTCTCCACAACGGCGGCGGCGTAGTCGTCGTCATCTGTTGTGCATTTCAATTTGTAATTGTAATTGCATTTTATATACACACATCTGTGTGAGAGGCTTGAACGTCAGTGTGAGTGCAGACTCAATGACTTGGTGTAAGAGTGTGTATTTTTATAAATTTGTTGTTTTATTTTTTTTGTCATCGGGTCATGTGTGTCGGGTATTCTTTTAGCTTGAAAGGCTATAAAGCCGAATGGTATTTTAACTAAAGAGAATATTATGTCAGGTCATATTGAAGATATTTAGACAGACATTCCAAACATACCGTTCCATTAGATACCATTCCAACTTGGCAACACCATCATCATCATTACCGTATTTTAAAGTCTGGAATAGGCAAGATAATCCTCGTCACATCATCATCACCATTAAGCCTACTACTACTACTACTATTATCATCATCGTTGTCGTATCCCGGATGCGTGAAAATGCAAAATGCTGCAATGTCAAATCGAGAAAACGGGCACAATGACTCAAAGCTTGCTGCTGCAGATTGGGGGCTATAAAAAGCGGCCAACTAAGAGCAACTAAAACTTTCCAAATGCCAATACCCACACACAGACACAAACACACTTGTATGCCATAAAATCACAGTCATTATGCATAGTATGTGTGTGCCTGATATTTATTTTTCAATGAGAGACGACGACGGCTCAGCGACATTTAGCTGAAAATGCAATAAACAACATTCCAATCTGAACTGAACTCCCAAGCACACTAACCCCTCCGCCACACTTAACCCCTTTTGGCTCAAAGAGAGGAGGAAAAAAAAAAACAAGAAAGAATGTCATAGCCAAGTAGCTCGACTATGTGATACCGATTACTCAAAAATAGCACAAAATTATTGACTTATGAATGCATAAAAATATATTACACAAACAACAAACATCAAATTTGATGTCTTTCCAATCTTAAAAATGATTTGGAAATAACCTTAATAACCTTTACCCTAGAAAATCTAAGACTTTGGTTTAAAAATTGGAGATACCGAAATCTACCTATACACAAGGACAAGGCTAGAATATATAGGCTGTTGATAGTGGTTAAAGGTATGTATAACAACTGTACAACCTGTTACATGTCTATTAACATGACAACAAATCGAATATACCCTGATTATCTACAAGTAAGGGGTATACTTAAACAGCAACTACTAGTAGTAAAAAGTGCCAGCTCATTATGCGCATGTGTTTCCCATTATAGTAAGCGCTACAAAGCGCTATCCAGTGCACTTTTAAATACAACTTTGTGAGTAGGTTGAAAAACAACGGAAATACTTGTAGAAAGAGAATGTTTTAGGAAAATAATGCCAACAAATAATTTAGTAATAATAATAAAAAATAATATAATTTTAAACTATAGTAAATAAATAATATGAACTCAAGTTCATGAATGTCTATAACCCACTTAGATGGCATCCAAACACATATTACCCAAGATATAAAAATTGTTTTATTATTTAATGTGATCTTTCAGAGGATGAAATAATAATTAAGAAGCTTAAAAGGTAAGGATAATGAACTTAAGATTTTGATCCTCCTAAGTCAATAAGTAAAAGGTTATGGGTAACTTTTGACTCTGTAATTCCAATGATATTGTAGTGTTGCGATTAAAAGGACCTAGTCAAGGGGATTTCAAAAGCTTCGATTGTGTTATAAGCTGCCTGCTCTCTTCTGAACTTCCTCCCACACCCTCTGGGACCCAACTCAGCTTCCAAAGAATGACATTGTCAATGTCAATAGCAAGATCGTTTCTTTCCGTTTCCTCCACATAAACACACACATTACTCGTGTTGTATGCCGAGAACGACTTTGGGAATATGCGCATATGTTAAGACCTCAAAGAGGTAGACAGGCGGCGATCTTGTTGCATACGCTTAACGGTTTTCTGGCTTTACCTGGTGGCGTTATTTCTCGTGGCGTCTCCGCCATCGCAGCAGCCTCCTGTAGTACTCCAAGTGATTAATGGGCCCAAGCGGACAACAGACCTTGCCATATACGGGTTACTTTTACGTTATATACACTGAGACAAAAAATATAAACGTAAATTCAAATATATAAAATAATAATTTGAGTTTTGCAAATTCTGTAAAGCAAACTAAAACTATGTAAAGCTCAAAAGTTATTCTTGAAACCATGGCAAAAAATTCCCTAATTTGAATAATTTGTTGCTCATTTTTTCCATGTACATAACGGGGTGAGTTCAGGGGCAAAAACCCAGGAACTTTTGTGGACTTTTATGAGCAATTAAAAAACTATTACGACGACGCCAAATGGCAAGCTGCATTGTTTGCTGTCGAGTTTTATGTGCAACGATGACGTTTTTATGGGCGCCACACGAGTGTGGGTCGAGGTCTTTTGGCTTCCTTCCTCTCTCTCTCTAACTCTCTCTACCTGTCTCTATCTGCGTATTGTATGTCTCCATCTGTTTCTCTGTCCCAGTCGCTGCGCATGCGCCCTCGTCTCTCTTTTGCTCCTGACTCCCCTCCCCAATTGTGGAATGCGGAACTGTTTTATACCCCATATATCTCTGGTTTTTGTATTTTCTGTGGGTTTTCTTCATTTTTTTTTTTTTTTTTTTTTGCATAACTCAAAATGCACCCTAATGACACACATAAAGTCGGACTTTGGTGCCGGGTCTTTCCAGCCTTTGTCTGGGCTCCTTGAGAATTAATTGATGGCCATTAAACTTGGTTTTATAATGAAAGAGAGTTGTGGGACTGCAAAAAGGCGGCAACAATTTGGAAGGGGTTGCCTCGGTTCCTGGTGATTATTCATATAAAAAAAGGGAAATAAATTAAATTACAGAAGGTGTATACTTATTTACGACATTATTTGTAATTTATCACTTTTTATTTTATTAAAGGTACTATTTTTATGTGGGGTTCTTTATTGATTTTTCTTTAGGTCCTTTTGTATTTTGAAAAATAATAGTAATATTGATAGATAAACTGGTATAAAATAGAGAAAATAATCACTTGAATAGCTTTTAGAGTCAAACTTGGCAGTGCTCCTTTCGTTATAATTTGATAAGTGGCGCCCAACGAGTCCCACAAAGGCTCTTCGTTTTAGTGTTGCTTTGGGATAGTTGTTACTTTTAATGGACTCCAAGCTTGACTTAATACGCATACTGATAGCGTTTCTAAGATCTCTATTCTATTAACCAGTAAACAAATTGATTAAAAAATGACATTAAAATGACTTCTTTAATAAATTTAAGAAAAAATTCCATGCGAATTGAGTTAATTCTAGAAGCAAAGCTCACACATTCCGCGACCATTTCCTTTCTCTCTCACTCGGCGATCAAGTCTGCATACTCAGCTGTTTAGCTATCTCTTTCTGGCTCAGATCGCTCTATCTCTTTCTGTCTGTCTCCTTAGCGATTCGAACTCTGGACTTCGACTCATTCACGCGCCGTTCACATAACTCGAAACGTGATTTTTACATGGCGAGACTCTCCTCGGATGAGATGATGCCACGATTAATGCTTCTTTTGCTGCTGCTGCGGCTGCTGCTGCTGCTTCCTCCTCCTCCTCTTCCTCTTTTCTCTTCCATCTTCGTTGTCTTCTTCATCTCCGGCATTCTTGACTACAAAAGAGGAGTGAGGAGGAGGAGGAGGAGGAGGAGGAGGGAAGCAGCTACAGACATTGGAATGTGGCAGCGCCACTTTACACCCTTCGCATTTCGATTGTCGTCCGCGACTGCAGCTGTTGCTACTAGTTTATTGGATACAACAACTGAGATGACTGAGAAGAAGTGCAAGAAAGAAAGAGAGAGAAAGAAGAAGGCTGGGGGCAGGGAAAGTACCACCAGGGGAGGGAAGTGAAAATGGTACGGCATGTCAACTGTCACCGGAATACAGTTGGGATTCCAATGGTATTCACAAGAAAACTAATCAATTTTCATTCAAAAAGACTACAGTCTTAGGATACTTAAGAGACGATTTATTTACAAAAAAGTATACAGATGATTATATATATAGATTATAGATTTATAGATTAAATCCAATAAATATGATTAGAAAGCTAAGTTGAAAATCCGCTTAAAATGACATTAAAGTTAACTCGTAACTATTTTTCGCCAATTTGCGTTTGTTTGTGAATAATTTTGAAAGAAAGGTCCTATACATTTATAAAAGTCCTGATAAATAAATAAAGGTCCTCATAAAAAAAGAAAGGCCATACTAAATGAAGAAAGGTCTTACTAAATAAAGGAAGGTCCCACTATATAAAGAAAGGTACTACTTAATAAAGAAGAGTCCTATTAAATGGAGAAAGGTTCTACTAAATGAAGAAATTTATATACAATTTTCTTCTGGTTTCTTAAAGTTACAGATGAGATTGCTTTAGTATAAAAATGTCTTCGATTAAAATACATAGTTGTATTTATAACATAACATGAATTCAAGAATCAGTTTCTTTTACTTCAGGGTGACGTAAGCTCTTAGAAATTCATAGCATACATAGATCATATATTATTTATTTTTATGAATTTTTTACTGCCTCCTGTTAGTGTCGACATCTTTCCCCTCCCTTGCTCTTCATCTCCTGTTCAGTTTTACTTCTGCTTACATCATTGCCTCACAGCAGCAGTCGTCAGCTATCAATCACACGCACAAAACGGAAATAAATATAGAAATAAGGCGGAAAGGCGACAGAGGGAAAGAGATAGAAAGAGCAAGAGAGGGACAGCGAGGGGAAATGCAGCGGAAGTGCGTCTCATTGAGCAACTGACAGAATATGCGCGCCTGTGTGTGGAAATCAGTATGTGAAGCGAGGGGCACGCCCCAAAACCAAGATGCTGCCGAGACACCGAGACGCCCCCTCATCATCTCTTTCCCCAACTTCTGGAACAAAGTCACCGTCTGCTATCTCAATCAACGTCTGAGTGACTGACTGACTCGCTGAATACACGAGCTGGATGACTGACAGGCAACACGTGCTCTCAACGCAACCAGTTGGCCATTAAAGCACCAAAAAAACAAAAAAAAAAGCAAAGCAAAACAAAATGAACCCAAGCTGAAAACAGAAATAAAAAACTGCAACAAGGCATTAAATTTTTTTTTAATACGAGTAGGAGATGCTGGTGTCCTCCTTGAAGCATTTAAAGACTCTTTTTTTTTGAGAGAATAGCCTGGGAAAACATCAGTTGCCACCCATAATTCCAGCTTAAGTGTGGAAAGAGTCGACCCTTAAGTAGTAAACGGCTAATAAACTGGCTACTAAAACGCGGAATCTTTCGTTTTAATTTAAATTCAAAATAAAATATAGAAATATCTACAAGTTAGGATGTATCTTATCATATTCAATGTTTGATTTATGCTTTTTCTTCTTTATAGATACAAGAAAGGCCTCATTTTCTAGGATTATTAAAAGTATGAAAGCATTAACCACCATTTAAAGTTATTAGGTATGTACATCAACTTCCAAATAATAAAACATATCCTAATAATTTCAAAAATTCTCATTACAACTAATATTTTTGATTTCCTAAAACAATTTGTAAGTACACAAGTATTTTCATTCCATGTGGCACAAAATGAGTTCATTAGAGGTTTTTTTTTCAGCCTAATTCCCATGAATGGAAGCCACTTACGGGCTTTATCAGTGACTGGGGCAGCAGATCTTTCGGCTAGGCTGCCTTTCCAATTGAAACTATTTCCGGCCAGACTCAATTCGACGGCAACAACAACTATAAGAGCAGCGCAAATACAATGACAGCAACTTGCCAAGAAATACATTAGAGCAATACAACAACAACAACACATATGTTAGTGCAATTGCAATAACATACCGCATGCCACATGGTGGCACACACTAAGACATTCCGCAACCCCTTCATCTCTTCAAGTCGTCGTCAACCGTCTCGCCGGTTGTCTCAAGAGCAGTTGTGGTGTGCTGCTCTACGGTCTCTAAAACTGTGAAAATGCCCAGACGGTGAGTGTGCAATTGAGCGACTGCAACCAGGCACTTCCATTGCCGCCACCTTTTGACTGGTCTGGTCTGGATTCCATCTTATTTTATAATTAACAAAAATAAAATTCATCTAAAATTCACAAGTACGAATTTGGTAAAAAGTAGTACTTTAGTACTAAAGATTTCAATTTCTGCTTTTTGGCCTTTTTACTTGTCTTTAAACTAAAAACTGTTTGTGCTAATAGTAGAGTCCTGATTTATGTGTATATTAAGTCAGCCGACAGCCCTTTTAGCAGTTTGAGTCTGTAACAAGTATTAGTATTCAAAATGCTTTTACAAAAGCAGAAACCATATGAAGAGTTACATTGTATTAAAAGGATTAAAATATGTCGTATTATAACATTATTTAAAAATAAAAGTTGATTCTTTCAGGTTTGTCTAATAACTTATAAAAAGTCTAGGGTATTTACACAATCAAGGTATTTTTTCTCAACTTTTTCCACGTTCTTTCTCTCCTTTCGCTGCTGGAACTGCCGCCTGCTGTTAAGTTATTATTATTGCAGTTGTTGTTGCGACAGACGCGCCATTTGTTACACATTATTTAGGATCAGCTGCCATTTAACGCTACCGCCTCCACCAACCTCCCCATTTTTCCCGGCTCTTGGGCTCCATCCGGAATTTCTCCCAATATTTATTGTTGGCGAGTTATTTGGAACTGGGCCATGCGGAAACAAATACCAAAGTAAAATTCTATTGGAGCTTTGGATGATGATATATCCGGAATTGGAAAACTACATCCTCATGGCTCCCCCACACATTTTCTATAGCTTTCTTTTGGGGTCAGACACAGTCGCCATTGACACCCAAATCAGCATAAATTTTCATAGGAAAATTTTTAAAATGTCCCCGACTTCTTTAGCCTCGGTGGAATGTGACACAAATTAAGCACCAGAGATAAATGGAGACAAAGTCGTATACAAACTATGGAGAGACAGTGGAACATTTTTCAATTACAAAACGAAAAAAATATATACATAAATAAATATGAGAACAAGGCTATCTTTCCTTTCGCCATAAAGAGAAAACTGTTCCTCTATAGAATTCTTATAAAAAAGAAAAATTTATTTGTTAGAAAAAGAATGCAATATAACTTTACCTTATAGCTCAATATCTCGCTTTTCTTTATAGTTATTTACACGTTTCGGTATTATTATTTTTCTCCCCTGCTACAATTGCACTTTCTTTTTAGATTTTCCAATTTGAAGTACTCAATTTTCGGGGCAAAACGAATTGAAGAGAGTTGGAAAAATATTTGGGGGAGAGAGAAGCTCACGAAATGCACTTGTATCACTTATACACAACTTTATTACCTCTCTCTCTCTCTTTTTCTCTGGTTTGGTTCGGTTTTTCTTTTTGACTAGCAATTTGATTTATTTAGGTTATCATTTTTCTTGATTTCCTCGTTGTAGCTGTCGCTGCTGTTGCTCTCTTGATCTTTTGTTGGCAAGTATTTGTGGTTGTGGTTGTGGTTGTGGCTGTGCCTGTTGTCACATAGCATTCCTCACTTTTTCTCACATTTTTCACATGATTTTTACTTTCACACCTTGGCGCGGCAGCACTCGATGATCATTTCACGTGATCTCAATGATGCATTTTGTCGTCGGCGATCTGAAATGGGAGCAATAGAGAAAGGCAAACGGCGATGAGAAAGGAATTCCATGTATTTGGGAATGAATAGATCTAAATTGAATTGTTTATTGATATGAATGAACTTATTGCAACTAAAAATGTATTTAATTATATATAAGGAACATACAGTTGTAAACTTATTGCACCAGTTCAAGTTTTTAATTTGGTTTTATTTGATAATCTACAGTTTAAACCAGCGGAAAGATAATTTAATAACCACCTTCGAGCTATTGTTAGGCATTGAACCTGGAATTCTCAAGTCAGAATTCTTGATAATATATATAACAATGCTAAAAACGATCTTTTTCTTAGCCAAAACAAAGTTCATATAATTTTATATAGTTTGTATAGTTTAAAAAGTTTAAAGTGTAAAAGTTGTATTTAATTAATTAGTATATTTCAGTTTAAATATATAAAAATGTGTAGAAAACTGTGAAATATCCATTTATCATATGTAAGCCCCTCTTTTTTTTGCAAACCCATTAAAAGCTAACTCCAGCGAAACCATTATCCAATTAACAAATTCCACAAAATTACTTAAATGCCAGAGCAAAAATGGCATTCGTGCAACTTTTAATCCACCTGAAAAGCCATAATTTTATGCTCGACTCTTACAATTCTTGCAGTATGGTTATCCATTAGGCCCCACCCATTAAAAAAAAAAACAGACAACAATAAAACATTGAACTTTCACGCGAATTAATAGAAATGATTTCAACAGAAAAACTGCTCAGCAAAGCACAAATTATAAAAATAAAATATTAAATAAAGAAATAAAATATTACATAAAATGTAAAATGTTGTTTTGGCACTCAGTAGGACCACGCCTTTTCCTCTAACAGCAACTATAGTATATCTGTATGTATACAAAATATAAAAAGTGTAGCTGAAAAATAAAGAATAAAGCTTAACGTTATCCAAAAAGGAGGGGAAAAACAAACAGTTGTAAAGCTTGGCCTATTGACGCCTGGATTACCTTCCTTAGAAAATAATAAGTATGGAGAACTAAATGTAAATAAGAAACTCCCGTTTTGCTAGGTATACAAAATAAGTTTCTGATTACTCTATTTCTTGTAAAAATATGATTTAATTTATGTGTCATTTTTTATTGTAATTTTAACTAAAATATTACTCTATCATCCATTCATTGTCTACCTAAGAATTTATTAGGATTAAATATAAGTTTAAATGAGTAATATTTTATTGTTTAAATAATTTCTCAACATTAAACTATTTTATAATAATATACAAGGAAAAAGGATTTCCGCTCTTCCACAAATCGAAGACATCTTCTTCAAACTGAATTTAATGGGTAAAAAACTGTCTGCGCCGGACAACAACATCTCCAAAAACAACGCCGGCAGGAAAAACAAGCGCAGTTCAAGCATCAAAAAGCTGCCGTCACGCCCCTCTTGAGTGCACTAACCGCCCACCGCCCCACTTCCTTTCCCATCTCCTTTCCAGCCCCCTTCCACCACAAACATTCATTCCAAAAAACGAGGCCAGACAGACAGCGTCTCTCTCGCTCTGCCGATCACTCTCCCTCTCTCCCTCTCTCTCTTTCCCTCCCGTAAGTCACGTGGGGTGTTGTGTGCGGCACGCGAAATGCAAGGAAAAACTAATGAGAGGGGGAAAAAAGCGCTGAACTAAAGCGAAAATAAATAAATAAATTAGTTGCCTGTATGTATATTTTGGATTCTGCGTTTTAATTGTAAGCAGTGGTTTCAAATGTTCGTAAAATGGAAAAACAAGTTCAAGAAAGTTTAATAAAAATTCATACTTTTTTTAGTTAGCTAAGAAATAAGTTCACATACACAAGCTATATATGTACATATTTTAATTTCCAAAAGTCTAATTATTAGCTTTCCAATTTAAATGTTAGCTTTTAGCCAAAAATTTATTTTGGTCAAGACAACAAATCACACACACACACACATACAATACGAGCGCATACACGGCCAAATAAGAGGCGCGTCGCTGGCCTTAATAAAAATTTGCTGCAGCAGCAAACGACAGAGAGAGAAGACCAGAGAGAACGCTTGCACACCGGTGAGAGAGATAAAACACAAAATCGAAGCGAACAAAAAATGCCAAGCGTGCAAGAAGCGCAACAGAGGCGTCGACAGCGACGCCGGCAGAAGCAGCAGCGAGCCGGCAACCCTCGAGATGACGTTGACCCCGAAAAATGACGCGAAGCGCAATTTGTGAAAACGAATGCGAATGGGAACGAAAACAAACTGAAATCTAATAACGGCCCGCCGGGAGTGCGAGCGAGAGGCGAACAGTGTCGGCGTCTGCATGCGGAGCTCTCTCCCTCCCACTTCTCTCTCGTTTTGTTGTTTTGCGGATAGACGTGCTAAAGCGCAGTGGGTATAAAAACACACAGGACGAAAAGGCGAATAACAACAACATAGTAGAAGAGCAGTTAGGCGGAGGCCAGACAGAAAGAGATGGAAAATGGCAGACAGTGAGTAAAAAGCGCGTGGAAACGGGCCAGAGAACCGAGAGAGCGTGTGAGCGTAAACAGAGCGCATGCCTAAGATAACGAACAGGAGGAAGAAGCCTAGGAAGGAAGGAGCAGAGGATCCCAAAAAGATGGAATGAGTTGAAGCATTTGCCTTATGTATAAAGTGATAAAAATGATATTCGTACATGTGCAAAACGTTAAGAAAGAATGCATTTCTGTTAGCCAAATTAAACAAATGAATCTGCTTTTGGATTCTACTGCAATCTCAAACAAAAACAAAACAAGACAACGGAAAAGAGCAACTTTACCCCGCGCGTGCATAAATAACAGAAATTTGTTCTCACAGACGAAGGCCTCCATGTACATATATATATTTGTATATAAATGTATATACATGTATGTTTTTTTTGCAGTTTTACGAAGCGCCAGCAGAGGAACAACAACAAAATGCAGTCGCTTATGAATGGAAAAGAAGGCGCACCACTGTCTCGCTCTTCTCCACAAGCATGCGTCTGGATGTCTGTGTGAGGGAGAGAGTTTTGCATGTGTGTGCGAGGAGAGCGAGGAGTGCAGAAAACGTTGTCGGCGGTGTCGTTGGCCCTTCTTGTCTGGTGTTTTCTTGCTTCTCTTCCTTATTGTTGTTGCGGCGCAATGTGGTACAGTGACTACCAAAAAATACTAGCAGCACACAGCTCGTAAAAACGGGGCTCAAAGGGGAAGAGGAGGAAGAAGGGGAAGCAACGGAAGCAGCGACGCCGCCTAAATGGGCTGCAATAAAAAATTACATATGCGGTAGTAAAGTTGTAAAACTGCGGTTGTACGTCAGTAGTTTCAGTTGTAGTTTTCGACTTTGAGTACGTAGTGGTTGTAATATAGTATTTTACAACCCCAATACTAGGTCTGTAAATAAACCTACATATGTAATTTCTTCTATGCATAAGCCTTTAACTATATTTTTGTTTTTATATTTCGTCTGTATTATAACTAGTAAGAAAATGAAAAAATTAAAAATAATAATAAATAAAAAATTTAATTAAAGGGTTCGACATTTAAAATGTTAAAAAGTTATAAATCCTTTTTTTTTTAAATATAGTAAGCATTTATTGTAAAATTTCAAATGTAAAGCTTAAAAAAATTTATTTTAAAATACAATTAAATATAAAAACCGTCCATAATGATCGATCTTGAACATTTTTAATATTTAAGTTTCATTTTCCCATAAACCTGTCAATAAATTCCCAATAATTAGATATAAATTAACAGTATAATAAAATATTAGATACATTTTTAAGTAATAGTGTAAATATACCCTAATGATTATAGATTTTTGTGAATATAACGTTGGTTGGTAGCACATTAAGTTAGTGCCAATGGGCCGCTAATGAGAAAGAAAGGGGTTATTTAGGGTTGAAAACCAAAACGAACATCAAATGGCGCCGCCTAATTAAAAAACCATTAAAATTTAAAGCCACCGCCTATGCATGGGGGCTAATAAATACATAAATTTTGCAGCAACGGCATCAGTCTACAAAAACAAAAAACGCTTAAATTAATTACCTCACGAAACAAATAAGAAAGCAGCGGCAGTAGCAAAGATAAAAAGCCAGAAAAAAGGGTATAAAATGCAGTTAAAGCACATTGTGTTGAATTTTTGTTAAATGGAGTTTACAGAAAAGTGTAGTTATCTGTTGTAATTGAAATTTATATAAAAACATAAACAAAATATATAAATAATTGATAAGTTATAAAATTAACGTAAGTTAATATTCAAATTGAAGATCAGATTAAAATAAATTTCTTATTCCGTTAAAGAAAATTGTCATAAAACCCATTGTTAGGGTTTTTTTTTCTTTAAATATTATATTTCACAAATGATTTTAAATTTTTTAATAACAAATACAACAAATTACTTACTTTTATAGCCAAATAAAAAATGTTGTCAATCTTTTATCGCTATAAAGCTGTACCAAAACTGGTTCGTAAACTAATTATAGACATTTTTAGAGCCCATTAGAAGCAGTCTCAATTAGAGACGCTAAGAAAGATAGACTCAAATACGAAAATTAAACACAAGGATTGTGAAGACTGCGAACCAGAGGATTTTTGGGCCAATCCCAATGTTCAGTGTCCAACACTGAATGGCCAATGTGCAGCGTCAGCATGGTAGGCGGACGGAAAAAGCGGAACATCGTGGAATTGTGTCTAAAAATAAACTTGTGCAACAAAGTTGCAAAAGCAAACATCAGCAGACAGACAGTGACACAAAGTGGATGCAGCAGGGGCAGGCGCAGGAGAAGCTCCAGACACGAGTGGAGCTCTCTTGGCCAGACGGCGGCCTTTCTTCTGGCCGTCCGTCCGCGCGGCCCTAGCTCCCCCTCCATCTCCTCCTGTTGGCCATTTCGCTCTCGATCTGTTTGTCTGCCGAGTGCCGCCGTCTCATTGTTTGTGGAGCGCGGTCGAGGGGGGTAACAAAGGCCTTGCAGCAGCGACAATGGTTAAAAGGAGCAGCGCC